CCCTCTCATACTCTCTGTCGTTGTTCATGTTTACCTCCCTCTGCGCCCCTGCTTATCTTCTAGTGCGCTGTTTTCGGGGAGTGTCCATACGACGGCCGCATATTGCTCCATGTTCTTTTCTCCATCGCCCCCCCCCCTCCATGTGGAACGGCAAGATTTATATACCTACACCTCCACCCCACCAACTTGCCCTTGTTCTCACGAATCGTGTTCTAGCACTATCCGCACAAGTCGACCGCATGTGGAAGGGGATAGGCGACCGACACATACTTTTATTGCTTGACTATTGTAGCACACACACAAATACCTCCTTGCCTGTAGTGTATTCTCTGTATTGTAACACATCCTCGACATGCAGTGCCGACACGCGACCCTTTCTAGTATTGGATGGGATGGGTTTTGCAGCACAAACGTTGCGCATCTCGGACGCACGATGAGTGTATCGCTGTTGCACTCAAAAGAGTCAAAGCATCGCGTCTCACAATGTAGGCAGGCCAACGCGGACTCTCTCTGTTTCTGTCTCTGACTCTCTCCCTGCCTCTCTCTGCCTGTTACCTGTCTCTGCTTCTCTCTCTCTCTCTCTCTCTCTCTCTCTCTCTCCCTCGCTCCCACCCCTCTCGCTGGCCCGTTATCACGGCGACTACTGCCGCCACCGCTCGCGCCTCTCTCTGCGAAACAGGTACGGTCGCGTAGTGGTTCCTCGCGTTAACCTCACCACGCCGAAGGGAAAGGGTAAGGCCAAGGACCCCAACGGGGACGACGCCGAATGCAATGAGGAGGAGGGGGAGGGGGGCACCGCGGATGGTGAAACTGCCGCCGGCAAGAAGCGCACGAACCGGTGAGAGGAGCTAGGGGGGGAGGGGGCACTCGCATCATGGTGTAGTCTGTGGGCCATGTATGTGCACAGCAGGGCGGTGTGTGTGTGTGTGTGTTTTTTTTTTGTGTACTTTTTCTTAGCATCGACCGACCGGTTGACCAATGAAGGATAAATATCGCGGACAAGCACGCTTCCATTTGTCGTCGAGCTGTTGATCTGTGTCTGTTTTTTGTCTTTATGTTGTTTGCGTCTACCACACGAACCGGCCGGGCAATGACAAGACGCCGGTCTCAGTAATCGGACAGAAAAGTTTATCTGTCCATTGTATTTTTGTCATTCGTGTGTCCACGCTTGGAAGTGGGTGACGGCTGGTGTTCGGTGTGATGTGGGGGGGACGGGCAAAGGTCGTCGAGTTTTTGTTTGGAATGAAGCGGTGTGACTAAGTTTCCATGTATCTTTGATCACAGATGTTGATTTTTTCGTGGTGCCTCGAGCGTCTGCCTCGAATTCTGATGTTTGAGCCGATACAACGAAGAAATGAGCATATATCAAGAGCTTGGTATTCTTGGACTGGAAGCATGGACGTGGGAAACGCCAAACGAATAACGCGTGACGTCGAGCGAGTGCCTCTACCAATGACAACCTTGCAGCAGAGTGGTCGCATCGAAAGTTTCGCGAGTATGTCTTGGTCGACATTGCCGCCTTTCCTCCTTCCCTCTATCCAAAGAAAACTCGCAGGACCGCCTTCGCGCGATTAACATAGTAAGTTTATGAGGAAATGGTACGCAGACCCCTATTCCCTAGCCAGGACCCAAGTTCGCCGATTTTCTATGCTTTATCCAACATGGTTACCTAATGCGAAGAACGAAAAAGCCCGCCAAGGCTGCTGAACTCGCAGCAGAGTGATGATAAACGAGCATCAGAGCGTTGGCATGAAGAAAACGCGTCTTGGAACTTGCAACCAATGCTGTCGCCTCCCGTTCCATCCCCCATCCAGGAAAGCCTCTGCGGTAGAGGGAGGGGGAGCCGTGAACAGCGCGGACGACTGGATATGCGCCATGTGCTCGCAGCTCGACACGCCGTGCATGTCGGACATGGTCACCTGCGACGGCCCCTGCCTCCGCAGCTTCCACGTGGTGTGCCTCGACCTTGGCGAGGATGCCCTGAAGGAGGAGAAGTGGCTGTGCGAGGACTGCGAGCGGGCGGAGCACGAGTGAGCGTTTTTTTTTTCTCATCATTTCACGATAAATTCACCTCTATCCATATAAAAGGGTCTTTTACAGGATAAAATGGTACTGAATTCATAGCGACAATCTCTGTCCGTAGATACGGATCTATTCTAGGATAAATTATTAATGATTTCTAGCGTGAGGGTAATGAATTATGGTACGTGTTATTGTCGGCTGGAACACAATATACCCATCTCTGCCCATAGATAAGGGCCTAGGATAAATTGGTGAAAGAGCTCATATAGCGTAAGGGTTATGAGTTTTGTGTTTTTGCTGGCTTGGGCTCAAGGTTTTCCTGTCGGGTGCTTTTGCGTGCTCCAAGAACAAGACACCCCCGGATGGATCACGCCGCGGCGGTGCCGAACATGGTGGACTAGGAACCATGTCGTCTAGAGCTTTTCGACAAGAATGCTTCTTGACCCTTGGTGTCCTCTGCTTCGTCGTGAAGTCATCGGGCTTTGAAAATCGATCCATGGTGTGTGTACTGCAAATGGTGGAGAACCAAGCTAATGTTGGCTTGTGCCGGTATTGGTGTTGCCCCGATTCGAGATGTACTGTTGGACTACTGTCAGAGTCGTGTCAAGGAAGGCGTACAGGGGAGGTGCGTGCAGCCATGCGGGACGCATATGGTAGAAGAAAGTAGTTTTCACGTCTGGAAGGCCGTGGGCTATATAGGGTTTGCGCTGCTGGCTTGAACATGAATGACTTGCGTTATTTGCACCCCCGGAGGTAGACGACGAAGACGCCAAGTTCAAATGTGATTGCGACTTCGAGTGCGAAGACCGTGTTCATGTAGTCATGGAATATCGGTGATACAAGAAGGAGAGGGAAGTGTACATGACTGAGCTGGGAAAAGTAGGAGAAAAGTACAGGGAGATGTTTGAGGCATGGGATAGCCAGGAGAAGACGTTTGCTGTACTGGGGCATAAGCATAGGAAGTGGGTTGAACAGGCGGGAAGTGGTATCGGTAGAAGTGATATCGGTAGGATAGATAGCCTAGGGACGACATTTTTGAGCCACCTTTGGCAAAGCAGGAAGGAACGATTGGCCATCGGTGATCGGTCCTGTGGGAACAATGCTCCGTCCTCTCGAGGACGCGTGGTCAATGGTCTAACCGCTAAGGCATGTAATACATAAGAGTTCGCCCCCGGACGTCCGCCGTTTTGGCCGCTGGCGTGTTCGATCTCTACTTGGTCGCGGGTGTGTAACCAATACCCCTTTGATATATACCTACCTTTTCAACGGCGGGCAGCCGCTACAGAGCACATGGAACCTCTTGGCGGTAGGATGGGAATATTTGAACCCGACCATTCTGATTTTTGTTTTGTCTTTCTTTGGAAAAGTACGAAAGAAACGACAGAAGTAGTTAAATAGTTGCCCAGAGTTCGATACCTTTTTTTTTTTCCACGGAAAATGATAAAACATGGACGATGCAACTGTTGCTTACTACAGGTGCTGGCAGTGCGGCGACTACGGACAGGACAATGTGGTTGGAGGCGTTTTTCGATGCGGGGTTCCCAGCTGTGGGAGATTCTACCACCGGCACTGCGTGGAGCTCAACAAGAACTCGGTGGTAAAGGCGGATGTTGACGAGGTGTGGTGATGGTGATGATGCATGTGGTTGCCGGTACGTAGTGGTGTGGTTGCTCTTGTTGGTGCTGGCTGGTTGGGGTGTTGTTGCTGCTGTTTTGGTTGTTTTTGGGTTGATGTCGCTGTTGTCGGTTGCCGTTGAGTAGGCGAGAGAGAGAGGGAGAGAGAGAGAAAGAAGTCTTATGTTTTTTGTATCCAAAGCTGAGCACGTTTTTTCTGTTCATCTTCCCCCATCGTGTACCATCCTGCGTCTTTTTGTCTATGCCACGTACTCCCCGGCGTGTGGGTACCTTACCTTTTATCTAGACCGCGTATCCCCCTTTTTCTTGCTCAAGCATGCGTACAAACCAGCAACGTGATGGATGCGGTAAGATCACTTTCGACAAGGCATGAGGCCTGGGAGACGGACGTTGCCCACATAACCCAACACACTCTTGTGTTTGCTTGAGACCTAGCGTGGATCGCCGTCCGTCGTTCTCGTCACCTGCTGCTCTCCACCGGCACCGTTACCGTTACCGCGGATACGGTTTGTGCGTGTCGTGTTCCGGCACCTGCATGTAGTTCCGCTGTTGCTGTTTACTGCTGCCGCTGATGCTGTTACATTTACAGCAGCGACGGTCACCGCTGGAGGTTTGTAATCATGCTGCTGCTGCTGTTGCCGTCACTTGTGGGTGTTGCTGCTGCTGATTGCCTTTTTTTTTTAGGGTGAAGATGGTCAGCCGATCTTCAAGTTCCGCTGCGCCTACCACACGTGCGACACTTGCTGCTCCGGTCGTGGGGGAACCAAGAACCACCTCTATAAGTGAGCTTCTGTTTTTTTTTCTGGACTCAGCGATGGGTCATCACTGTGCGTTGGACGTGAGGATTGGGGTTGCGAGGGTTCTTTTAATTTTTTTTTGGGCTCGCGAAATGTTTCGGGATATTTACCATTTCGTTTGGAAAAAAAAAATGGCCGCCTTCCGCCGTGCGATGGTTCGTGAGTGCTGTCGTTGCATGTCGCCTCTTTCTTTCTCAGCACACGTTTTACGTCCGTACCTTTGCCTCTCTTTGCTACAGTCGAAACACGTGTGCCCTCATTTACTTACTTGCCCGGTCTTTGTGTGTGTACTGTTTTTTTTTTTTTGTATTTTCGAATTAGCATCGACCGCCATAGCCGGCTGACCAATGAAAAGCCGTGAGTCTTACAACGGGAGCGGTGCGCGGTCTTTTCTTTTTCTTTGTTCTGTCGAACAGGTGCATCAAGTGCCCTACCGCTTACCACCTCAACTGCATCCCGCCAGATGCACGGTATCACGAGCTCGCCCTGATTTGTGAGGCGCACCCCGAGGTAATTTAACCTGCTCTTCTGATGTACCAGTAGATTGTTGGCGTTCTCGAGTTGCAAGAGTGCATGGTCTTTTCCAGACCTCTTGATGTTGTATCTATCGTTTCCGAGTCAATCGGGTTGCTGTTGTCAATCGCTTGTTGTCATTGTGTATCGATCTTCAAGCAGAGCAGTTGTTGCTGGTGTTTGCAATCCACCCAGTGGCCGCTCTAATGCCTGTCATGCTGGTCTGTCGAAGTTGGTATAATATAAACGTCGGCTTGCACAGGGATTGCAGGTTGCGTCCCCCCCTTGGCGACGTATGCAGTATATGTACAACGGAGGAGTCGCTATCGCTTGTCCCACGCCACCATAACGGGCAGCAGCGTAGTATTTAATAGGCCTTACGGCAAAGCCCATCCCTGGTCGCGCACCCTCCCTCCCTCTCTCTTTTTTTTTTTTGTCAGTCGTGGTCCCGTTTTTGCGGTCCATAGGGTCACAAAATGTTGTAACCGCTATTGAGGGCATCGCCGCTAAACCGGATTGGCAGTTATATTGTAGTTTGACTACCGAGGTGCAGCCGTGCCACGAGATTTTGGAACCGCTATTCAGGGCATCCCGCTAAACAGGGAACCGCTAAACCGGGACCGAAAGTGTACCACTAATTCTGCATTAAATCTCGCATAAACAACCGAAGGCACTGCAGTACCGCCGGAGGGGTGGATAGGGGGCCTCAGGGAGAGGAACCCTTCTGTGTGACCACGGGTTGGAGTACACAGCACAAGTGCTGTGAGCGCTGGTTTGAAGAGAGGAAAAAAAAATACCCCAAAACAAACAAAAAATGATTCTGGACGTTGGTCCCCAAAATCTTTCGGTACATTTCTGGGCGCAGCAGCCAGGGTGACACAGGAGGAAGGCCACCCCAAGGGGTTAGTAAGGGGTTAGTTTTATTGTCCACCTTCCTTCTGCGGTGCTTGTCTTGATCGTTGTCGCGAGAACGATTCAGCCGTTCCTCCGTGCGTGTTGTCTTGATGCGCTCTTTCGTTGCACCCCCTACCCTAGGCTGAGCTGCCGGCGCTCAAGCAGGAGGACAGCATTCTGGGACGGAAGGGTGAAGGAGAGGGCGAGGGAGGAGAAGGCGCCGGAGAGGCGGCGCCGGTGAAGTTTTCCCTCCCCACTCTCAAGTTCCCCAAGCACCCCCCCAAGTGAGTCCATTCTACGACACCCTCTTCGTCAGGACGCAAGAGGGCTCGCGGATTCAAATTCTGGAAGCACGGCTACCCTCCCCCCTCCCCCACCCCCGCCCGCCTCATGTTTTCGGGCGCTTTGTCCAGTTTGTTCAAGGCAGTTATTGTGTAGGAATAAGTATGGGTATGTTGTTGTTGTTGTTGTTGTTGTCTTGACATTAAAAACCG